TGTTCCACTCTTTGTCTTTTGAAAGTTTTGGTACATTTTCTATGTAAATATTTTTCTAAAAAAATGAATGATGTATGTACGTATGTAACGAGTTAACAATTTCTAACAGCCTCTTACTGGATCACGTCTTTTGGGGCTGTGTCTCAAATGGCAGTTTTTTCAGGCATGTAGTGAACCATGTAGGTTCTACAATACCATCACCTACCCTATACAATGTGCATATATAGTAAACAGGAAGCTTTTGGGGTCTTGAATCGTGCTTAAGAAAAGAAACATGAGGCTAAAGATATTTAGCCCTGTAGAGAAATCGGTAAAACCAGCTGCTAACCTCTGAAAGAAATATTTGCCTCTAACTCTAGGATCATTTGCTAGTTTTACGTTCATCTATATTAAATGCTGAATATGCCGTATTTGTCATTCTTGGTATGTTCTCAGAACACACCAAGGTCAGAGGTGACATATGGTCTGGCTAGGCTTCTCTCTTATCTCTCCCCTCTTCCCCATCTTCAGAGTGAGCCTCTAAAACCTTTCTCAAGTTATGCTTCTGTTGGTAAAAAGCTGATCTGAAGATTTTTCAAGCGCACGACAAACATCAGAGTCTGAAGATCAACACCAGACTCGTGGTTCCTGACCCACTGTTGTCGAATATCTAACAAATTGGTGCCGTGACCCGGAGGGCTCACCAACACCTCTCTGGTGACTTACGCCATTATTTACGGACTAAGAGAACACAATACAAGCTAATAATGCGGTACATGCTCATGATTTAATATATGCATTAAATAGCTTTTACGTAAGCGAACCATGAACACACTTGTTAAAAGAATGAGAGTTGTAGCAGCACAGTCCCACCTTCTCCTGAGGTGCACGGGCGCGTTGCAGGGACCCCCGATGAAGCTCCTCTGGTTTAAGGAGGCTGTTGGCGGCCGCCTATTCACAGCTATTTCCCATGGTCGCATTGGGGATGTTGTGAAGAACGAGTCGCAGCCACGGGCGGGGGAGCACTGGTGCTCGAGGCACTCTGGTCCGGCAGCCTCAAATTCGTTTCAGCTCTGTCACAGACACACAAACTGTAAGGGTTTGGCTGAAACATACAACAGTCTCCACACACAGAATGGTGTGGAGAAACAACAACAACAACAACAACAACAACACCCAGTGAGTGGCAGTTTTTGCAATCTTCAACAGTCCAGGTTCTGTTCATGCTGTAGCCTGGTCCTGGCTGACAAGAGCGGAACCCGGTGTGGTTTTCTGCTGCTGAAGCTGATCTGCCTTGCGGGTTGGCATGTGGTGTGTTCTGAGATGCTTTTCTGCTCCCTTCAGCTGTAAAGAGTTACTGTAGCTTTCCTGTCAGTCTCGAGCCAGTCTGGTCATTCTCCTCTGACCTCCCTCATCAACGAGGCGTTTCCTCACGCAGAACTGCTGCTCACTGGATATTTTTTGTTGTTCTCACCAGCCAGTGTCAGCACTTTTGTAAAACTGTAAGTGTTTTTTTTTTTTTTTGTCTTATTAACTTTAAAAGAGAGGAAAAAAAGTGAGGCTAGGGAGCGAACAGCTGTTTATCGCTGCCATAATGTTGGGGATAACTGCAACTTGTTTCGCAGATGTTCCACAACACGAAATCTAACTACAAACGGATAACAAATACACGGTGTTCTTTAATGCCCCTAAATGTTTTATTCCTTAATGAAGTCATGTGACCAGTCTATAACCATTCAACCATAACTGAAGCATCTTTGATCATGCTCGGTTATTTAACACTGATCAAAGTTAAATGATTAGCGTCACTGGTCCAGCTGGATAAGCTTCACAGACCATGCTATAAACAATGGGTGAAGAAGACATAATATCTGTAATCACTATTAACTACAAACAGAGTGGATATTCAGATCAATGCCACTCCCAATACCGACTGGACTTCTTATTCACTGGTGTATTTTTACGCTGTGAACACGTCGTTTCTGCTCCTTTTGCTTGTGAGCAGAGCATATAGACGGTTACATATGACTACAGTTTTTTTTTGTATAACTCGACAACAGAAACTTGTCATTTGGTGACTATGAGGATGTCAGTATCAGATCAGTATTAGGGAAAAAAAAAGTTACAAAACAATAAATCCACGCAGCACAACTGGCCCCAATACAACATGATATATACAACCCAGCTTACTGTGCATGATACTTCAGTAGTGTATTTTCAGTATATTATATTTGAAACATAAAACAAATCTGTGCTGTCATCATAAGTGGAAATATTTTAAACTTAAACTCAAAGTTGAAGAGCTGAATGCATTTTGAAGTAAAGCAGATCATCCGTAACATGGCATGGGTTCTCTATTAGTAATTAACAATTTAATTTTTATTCTATAGTGTAATAAAATTGCCTAGAAAAATCATTTAAACTATTAAAGCAGGAAGTAAACTATTAAAACACTGCGTATTAAATTATATGTATATCAAACATTGCATATTCAATTATGTGTGTCATTGGTACAATATATACAGAGCGAAAATGACATTACTGCTAGTGTAATATTTTACTAATAGCATGAGGTCACTTGCAATGTTGCACCAATAAAATTCTCAAATAAAAATTCATTGTTTTAATAATGAACGCTGGTTTTTGCATAATTAAAAGCAGAGATGTTATTGTTTTGCAAAGGAAGGAGTCTCCAGTGTCAGTACCTTGTAACAGTCAGCTGTAATGACTGTGTGGTATCTTGTTTTTAGAGGCTGGTGAAGGAACGACGTTCCCCGCCTCGTATACATTCCATAACGATAAATGTATCTATAAATGGCCAAAAAGTATAACAGTTAAGAATGAAAATAATCGGGACGTCCTGTTGTTGGAAAATAATCAACTTTGGGGGTCACATCACACTAACCCGTATTTTCCTGTATCACTACACCCCGAGTGATTTTTTTCCCCCCTTTTGATATTCTAACAAAACTTCATCTCATTTCCATATTCTCATGAATATGCAAATTGTGCAAGACTTATGACGTCATGGCTCGACTTTTCCAGCGCCTTACTTGCTTTTACTTCAGAAATTTGACATACTATAGTAACACTGGACTCTGTAATCTGTTATTAGTGCAGTATATATAAGGAACAAAATGATTTTATTTCTAATGACTAGGAATGAGTCTTTTTTTCTGTACTATCACGTGCACAGTGTCACTATCGGTGAAAAACAAATCTCGCGTTGCGTCAAAAATGCATTAAAAATGCCATAACAGCCAGAATGTTCTTCCATGAAGGATTTAATAAAGAATTAGAGTTTGTGCAGGATTAAAAATCAGAGCTGATGAGATGGGATGAAGTGAAGGGAAGCAGCGCCATGTGCTCAGAGACAAAGCAAAACAACAAAGAGGAGACATGAGCCTCACACAATCTCTCACACACACACACACACACACACACACACAACTCCTACACACAAATACCACCTGGTGCACGACTTTCCCTCTCGTAAACGAGTGCAAATCGTCTAAGCGTGCACTCTGTGCTTATAATATGTGTATAACAGCAGGGGAATGGAGCAGTGTGTGGATGTAAACAGCTAGCACAAAGGGCACATGTGGCTGACTTTGTTGTTAGCTACTGATTAGCATCAGGAGCTAGCTTGCTTGGCTAAAATGCAGCCCAAATGCCAGGAAATAAAGTCACACACAAGAGCGACATTTTTAACATGACGTCAAGGTGCATTTTTCAGGCGTGCAGCCGACATTACAGGAACCAGCTGTTATTGTTGTTGTTGTTGTTGATGCAAACGAGCTGAACCCAAACAGGAAACGCACAGCTAGCTTAGCTCATCTTAGCTGCCTGCAAAAGCGGATAGATTTTGCTAACCTTAAAAAAAAAACTCGTTTAAAATGATTTCATGAACATTTCTCGTCTTTGCAGGTCAGGAAGTCTTCACACAAACAAAAAAACACACACAGAGTGCTAACATTTTTAGCTCCAAAAGAAACCAAATGCTAATGCTTAGAAGCGGAGAAGCTAGCTGTTTAGCGTAGCTTACTTGTTTTCTGGCGGGTCCGACACCTCCAGACACGTCCTACTCCTTAAACCAGGCTTAATTTTTCTGTAATGAATCCGTTATTTGTAGTTTTCTTTAAATTATAATAACTGTTAACTTGTATGCATGCTCGACTTTAGGAGTCTTCTTCTTCTTCTTCTCTGCTTTGTATCCTTCACTCCGTCCCGCTTGAGCTTGTTGATAGGAGCCGCTGTGTTTTCATGGCCAGCAAAACAGCAATAAACTCCACTCATAAGCGCTTTTTTTATTGCTATTTAGACTATTTATTTTTCAACACTCAACATCCAAAACTAAAAAAAAAACGGTTTTAACGGTGAAATTGTTCAACTGCGTTTATTTCACAAGCATTCCACTGCGCGTGTTGTCATTGTGTCGGGGTGCTTACGTCCCAGTTGTGATGACGTCACCCCGACATAGCCCCGCCCCCAATATCATCCAAAAACACTAGCAGAAGGTCAGCCAGATCCAAAGCTGTATTTTTAAATGTGAGCTAAATTTCATCTCAAGATAAATCGTTTGCACTGGTTTGGGTTATTAAAATAATAATAATAATAATAATAAAAAGCAGTGTGTTTTTGTCTCATAGCAGCAAATCAAGGCAGTTGGTCTTCCTGAAAAATCTAACACCAGTCTCCTGGTTCTTGAGCTGTTGTTGCCAAATTTCGAACAATTTGGTGCCGTGACCCAGATGTCTCACAAACACGTCTCTTGTAAGTTACGCCAATATTTGATGAACCAAGAGAAATGTTATTCTGACACGTCCAGACACTTCCTATCCTTAAATGTTGTTGTTGTTGTTCCCCTTTCGGCTGCTCATGTTAGCAGTCGCCATGGCAGCTCACTGGTCCGCGTATTTGATTTGGCACAGTTTTTACAACGGAAGCCCTTCCTGATGCAACCCTCCCCAGTTTTATCCAGGCTCTGAGAGCGCACCTTTGCAAGCAACACCAGTGGCTGGTTCCCTGGCTGGGAAACGAACCCTGGCCTCAGCGGTGAGAATGCTGTGGCCTAACCTCTGGTCCTCCAGGGACCCACACTGCCGTGTATTTTCCGAGCCAAAACACGGGGATGCTTTTAGGTCGGAACTTTGGAAAATCGACTTGGAACTTGCAGAATCTTGCGTAAAATGGATTGCAGCATTTTTAACATGAGGTGTATGAAGTATGCATGAAATATTTTGTTTGACTACCATGTGTACGTGGTCTTTGGTGATCGCTTCTTGTGCAAGTCGATCAGAATTACTACAAACTTCCTTCAACACCATTACTCAACAGACATATATCCGGAAATCTTATCCCATCCAAATAGTACGTTATTTTTAACAATCTTCCTTAACCTGAGCAAGTTGTGGGTTGATATTAGATTTGCATATATTGGCAAACTTCATCAAAAGATTGGAGACACTTGTAGCATGATCTTGGTCAACTTCTCCATGCAGAACATTTAAAACTCCTTTATATTCTTAGGTTTGTGCATGTGGACTTCCTCCTTCAACTCAGACCACGTTTTCAACAGGATCTGTGCTCCTGATTTTGTATTCCTGTCTTGATATGTATATATGTATGTATGTTTGAGCTCTAGCTGAAAGATCAGTCTACGGTAAAGTCTTATCCTCCTGACAGAGGCAACAAGGTTTTGAGTCTAAATATACTGACAGAATTCAGGAAAATAATTTCACAAGAGCCCCAGCAAGGAGAGCTCCAAAGAATCATATCATTGTTAAAAGGTTTGGTTTTGGTCGTTTTTTTTCGTCATACTCGCATCTAATAGCTAATTATAAAAACTGACAACCACAAGAATCACCAAACCTGTGCAATTCTGAATGTGCTCTTGTTTACTTCCATCATCATCATCATCACATACATCATCTATGCTCATGTATCCACGTCTTGGCAAAATCTCTCCTGTTCCAGTCTTTTAAATACACTATATGACAAACTTCGTGGACACCTGACCCATGTGTGGTTCTTCTCTAAACTGTTGCCACAAAGTTGGAAGCGCACAGTTGTATAGGGTGTTGTATAGTATGCTCTAGCATTACAATTTCTCTTCACTGGAACAAAGAGAGGCAAACATGTTCCAGCATGACACTGCCTCTGTGCACAAAGCAAGGTCCATGAAGACATGGATAGCCAAGGTTGGTGTGGAAGAACCTGACCTCAACCCCACTGAACACCTTTGGGATGAACTGGAGCACCGACTGCACCCCAGACCTCCTCATCCACCATCAGCGCCTGATCTCACTAATGCTCTTGTAACTGAATGAACACAAATCCCCGCAGCCACGCTCCAAAATCTAGTGGAAAGCCTTCCCAGAAGAGTGGAGCTTATGACAACAGCAAAGAAGGACTAACACATATGGGTGTGATGGACAGGTGTCCACAAACATTTGGCCTTATAGTGTATTTTCTTACATCCATAACTGAATAACTGAAAATGTATTTTTTTATACACATTACATGACTGGTGCAGGTAATTAACAATCTGTCTTTTTTTTTTTTTTTAAATAATTGACTGAAGGCAACAATAAAGTTGTAAAAGCTAAAAAAAAAAATTTCCTTCCTTTCTTGGATATCCCAGTGTGTAAGGTTTAAGAGTAAAAGTGCCAATAATTCTCTAGCTATTAATTATCATATTATATTAATGGCTATTAATCCTGTTTACTAAATCATAGGTAATGATGCCACCTTGTTTAACTGCAAGTCACAGATGAAAATTTATTGCAGCCTATATTAAGTGTTTTTGGCCTTTGCAATATGATATTCACAAAAGACAGGAGTTATCACTTTGCATTTGATGCGTCGCCTGGTGGATTGAAATTACAGCTCAGCTGAGATTGAGGAAATTTTTCAAGTCCTACGAGGTGAGTTTGACTAATCGCTTGTCTGTTTTAGCAAATGATAACTGCATGGTGTTCTTGTCCTTATTCAGGCATAAACAATTTGCTGATTGAATTTTTTTTTTCCCCTAGCCACAACCACTTATTACATTGGTTCATGTGAGGTCTCTCAGGCAGCACTTTTCTATCATACAGATGACACAGCAGTTTTCTTTTCAGCTGTAAGAGCAGGGTGTGTGTCTTCAGCAACACTAACTAATCATGCTCATTTATTAAAGATGTTTATTGCATTAACTGGTATAAACAACACTAATTACCTTGCTGTGACCAGTAGCACATCTGTTTAGTAATTAAGGAGGGATGGGAATTCCGGCTCTTTTCACTGAGTCAGATCAATTGACTCGGCTCACTAATAGGAGTCGACTCTTTTCGGCTCCCAAATGACTCATTGATTGTTTTGTTGTTTTCTTTAAACTAACCTATATTAAGCAGATTAATTTTCATTTATTCTGTCATAATCACCTCTAGTACATCTTTAACAAGCAGCAGTGCAGCGGATCCTCCCCGTCATGCCACCTCGCACACACAGCTGAACTCAAACACACGTCTAACCTTTCACACACCATTCACACACAATTTTCCCTTGGAAGCCTTTTGATTAAATTACACTGCAAGAGTAATTGAATATGTCTATAAACATCTACATATACACATCTACAGCTAAAAAAAAAACAAAAAAAAACAATGGCTCATGTATACAACTCGGCTCTCAAAGTTCCACTAAAAGAGTCGACTCAAAGAATCAAAAAATCTTACTAGACCTCACATCTGCAGCTTCAGTTGAAACAACCTTATAAGATTTCTCAAAATACCTCAGAACAACATCCATCATCATGTAGTATTAAGCAGCATGGAACTGATGTGACTGTGATAAATCATGAAACATTTGCAAGATTTATAATATTTCTCATACTGGCTTAGTGGTTAGAAGGTGGTGAATTCGAATCCCAGGACAGCGAGACCTTTAAAAAGAGCAAATCCAGTGCCCTATATTCCTCTGGACACTGTGACATAATTCCGTCAGGTCAACCAAAAAAAGACGCTCTCTGAGTACATACTTTCCAACAGAAGCAGAAAAATTCTAAGCAAGCAATAACGCCATGAGTCGGCAAAATGTATTTGGAAATATTTTACAGTACTTGAAGATTAGACTGTATCAAAGGACGTTAGTGTCGAGCTACATTATACCACAGTGCTGTTGAATTCTCAAATCTGATTGGCCTTTAATTGTTTGTTGTTGGTACAGTGAAGTTTATTTAACATTTATAAAAGGAGTCTCTGGTGTCAGCACTTTATAACAGTAAGTTTTTTCCACCACAGGAAAGTCTTCACAAAAGAACTACTTCATATTATCATTTCTTCCATTATTTTGCCATAATAAGCTCTAAAAATAACAAAAGTTGGACTCCAAGTTGCAGAAAACACAATACAATGCAGTTCTAAGAAAATGACAATTGTGGAAGCTGATCTCTTTGAGCAGAGGGTACGGATGCAGAAGTGAGAGAGCTGGACAGACTAAAAGACTAAAGCGCTGCTGCATCAATCTCTTTAGGCACAGATGAAGCAAGGGTTAAACCCCGCTGACGCCACTAGTTAAACAGCATTGTGACCAAAATGACCAACATGTCGATGAAAGAAGTTTACACTGCAAAAAAAGTCAACTCAGAATTTCATTACAAATTAAATCTTGCAGGCGGTTAAAGATCACATGTCAATTATAAAGATTTACAAGTCATTTGGGGTGGAATTTTGTCCGCTTCCTGTAGGTTGCTGCAAATTTACAAGATATTTGTTTACGGTGACAGTGTCGGAGAAACTTCTCCGACGGATTCACCACACAATAGTACGTTTTGACAGTTTGCCAATCAAATAAGCCACAGCCTAGTTCACAATGATGTCACAGCTGAAAATGATGAACATGGAAGTGACTATTTTTTTTTTGTAGCTTGTTATACAAGCTGTAATAACACACACAGTCACACAGATCCAAACAGCTATGTGTATGGGGATTAAGGAACCGGAACAGGAATATTATTTTGTCTCGACTTAGACATGATCAAAATAAGGCATATTACCATTTTAGATCATGCTTTTTTTTTTTTTACTATTTATGAAATAATTGCACAGTTTGTGTTGCACTTTAACTACATAAAAGATACAAAATGATGTGCTGGATCAGTGTGAGGACAACAACATGTCATATATATGTATGTGTGTGTGTGTGTGTGTATATATATCATAATAGAAATGTTTTTAATGCAGACTTTGACCAATAAAAGGCGAATATTTGTGAGAAATGAACCTACTCTTCTCATGGGTGAAACAACTCTGATAAATCGAGATGGAAGCAAATATTTGGCCAAAAATAAATGCAAACCACATTACAAATGTAAAAACCTGCCCTCGCGCGGAGTGTTCCGGAAGTGACGTCACCTACTTCACCCTCCAGAGCCGGCCAAAATCAATGCAATAATAATAATATTAATATTTATTATTATTATTATTATTATTATTATTATTATTATTATTATTATTTTGTAACACTTCAATCCGTCGATTAATTTAATCTGATGTAGGTCTGGAAACAGAAACATGGCTTGTTACAAATCTAAAACAGTGAACTATATAGGGCGCATAAGTGGTCAGGATCTGTGTGCTATAAAGTGCACTTATGTAGGGAATGTGGAGCTGTTTGGGATGCGGCCCGAGTTACGTAAACCTTTGCGCCAAATGACCAGCCGGCAAAAAAAAAAAAATTAAAATAAAATAATATAATAAAATTAAATTAAATATTTAAAAAATTAAAGAAATGAGCAATGTGAGAAATTTTACTATTCTATTTTATTAATTTTATTTAATTTATTTATTTATTTTTATTTTTTAAGGAAAGCCATACAGAGCATTAGAGCAAAAGAACATGTTGTTGTTGGGATATTTGTTTATTTATTTATTTATTTGCACATCTATGACATCTGAAGCCATTTTTTTTCCTTAAGCAATTTAAAGCAAGGCTCAGTTCCAGGCTATAATAATAATCATATAAGCACAGATTTTGCATCCTCTGCAGAAAAAACCCCAGAGAAGACTATCATCAGAATAAAATGCGCAAACCAGTTGCACTCCATTACTGA